TCTGGAGACTGGCTAGGCCACTCCAGGACCTTGAAATGCTTCTTACGAAGCGACTCCTTCGTTGCCCGGGCGGTGTGTTTGGGATCATTGTCATGCTGAAAGACCCAGCCACGTTTCATCTTCAATGCCCTTGCTGATGGAAGGAGGTTTTCACTCAAAATCTCATGATACATGGCCCCATTCATTCTTTCCTTTACACGGATCAGTCGTCCTGGTCCCTTTGCAGAAAAACAGCCCCAAAGCATGATGTTTCCACCCCCATGCTTCACAGTAGGTATGGTGTTCTTTGGATGCAACTCAGCATTCTTTGTCCTCCAAACACGACGAGTTGAGTTTTTACCAAAAAGTTATATTTTGGTTTCATCTGACCATATGACATTCTCCCAATCCTCTTCTGGATCATCCAAATGCACTCTAGCAAACTTCAGACGGGCCTGGACATGTACTGGCTTAAGCAGGGGGACACACTGCAGGATTTGAGTCCCTGGCGGCGTAGTGTGTTACTGATGGTAGGCTTTGTTACTTTGGTCCCAGCTCTCTGCAGGTCATTCACTAGGTCCCCCCGTGTGGTTCTGGGATTTTTGCTCACCATTCTTGTGATCATTTGACCCCACGGGGTGAGATCTTGCGTGGAGCCCCAGATCGAGGGAGATTATCAGTGGTCTTGTATGTCTTCCATTTCCTAATAATTGCTCCCACAGTTGATTTCTTCAAACCAAGCTGCTTACCTATTGCAGATTCAGTCTTCCCAGCCTGGTGCAGGTCTACAATTTTGTTTCTGGTGTCCTTTGACAACTCTTTGGTCTTGGCCATAGTGGAGTTTGGAGTGTGACTGTTTGAGGTTGTGGACAGGTGTCTTTTATACTGATAACAAGTTCAAACAGGTGCCATTAATACAGGTAACGAGTGGAGGACAGAGGAGCCTCTTAAAGAAGAAGTTACAGGTCTGTGAGAGCCAGAAATCTTGCTTGTTTGTAGGTGACCAAATGCTTATTTTCCACCATAATTTGCAAATAAATTCATTAAAAATCCTACAATGTGATTTTTCTGGATTTTTTTTTTTCAATTTGTCTGTCATAGTTGACGTGTACCTATGATGAAAATTACAGGCCTCTCTCATCTTTTTAAGTGGGAGAACTTGCACAATTGGTGGCTGACTAAATACTTTTTTTCCCCACTGTAGGTATTCCTCTTGTCCAGATGGGATAAGGTAGTGTGCAGTGTGATGGCGATTGCATCGTCTGTGGACCTATTGGGGCGGTAAGCAAATTGAAGTGGGTCTAGGGTGACAGGCAAGGTGGCGGTGATATGATCCTTGACTAGTCTCTCAAAGCACTTCATGATGACAGAAGTGAGTGCTACGGGGCGATAGTCATTTAGTTCAGTTACCTTTGCATTCTTGGGTACAGGAACAATGGTGGCTATCTTGAAGCATGTGGGGACAGCAGACTGGGATAGGGAGAGATTTAATGTGTCCGTAAACACACCAGCCAGCTGGTCTGCGCATGCTCTGAGGACGCGGCTAGTAATGCCGTCTTGGCCGGCAGTCTTGTGAGGGTTAACACGTTTAAATGTCTTACTCACATCGGCCACGGAGAAGGAGAGCCCACAGTCCTTGGTAGCTGGCCGCGTCGGTGGCATTGTGTTATTCTCTATGGGGACCAATTGGGAAATTCACTTTGGAAATCAACCTGTTAGGCCACAGATTAAGTTTATGTCTTTAATTCTAACAACACAGTACATTTAAGTCAATGGAAATTATGACGCATCAAAATATGTGTAATTTCATTTAACAATGACTTTCTGTCCTTTCAAGTCCCAAAGGGAATTTAAACCATGACTGTGCAAACTTGATGAAAATGATTACTCCTTCCCTGGCAGACATTAAAAGTTCATACTGTTTCCAAATTGTTAAAATGTGCTTGAAGAACTATAATGAAACTGAAACGAAGTATAGAAAGTTACATAATGTTCTCAATTATTTCACAAATTGGCCTCATAATGTCAATGCCAGTATATCAGCAAAAACATGAGTCAGTTCCAACATTAAGGATTTAACGTGCTCTCCGAAGAGGTGATAATCACATCTATAGTACAGTTCCTCTGGAGGCTGCGACCTGGATATCTGAAACAACCTAGAACTGGTGACACGGGAAAGGATTTATATTGTGGGAGAGACCATTTTTCCTCTCTACTTAATCTAGCCATTTGTTCCTGTGCTGTGCCTTCTAGGCAAATGTTGACATTGACCCGAGTTTTATTTATGACTTTCCTGGTGAATTAGATGAAACGATGTCAGAGGGCTTTGTCAGAAAATGCTCTCTGGGGCTCTTAAAGGTTCATCTTGTGCTCCGAGTCATTGACCTCTCCTCTCCTGCATTCATTCCTCAGTAGCTTCACCAACACTAGCATAGGGGCTCAGTCCTATTCCCGACAGTCAATTACATTACACTAGAGTTAAGGGAGCACAATGGAGTGGGTTATTCACGGCTAAAAACCTTTTAACGTACACAGAACATCCAAGGGACCACACTGTTGACTGATATACCTGTTCCTCATGTAACAATGGTAAAAAAATGCTGTTTCATCAACATATTTATTTTGTCTGCTGAGTCCTACGGAAACAGGCCTGTCCATCATGACCTGAGCAGCTAGGGCCCTCTCTCTGCTTTCTGCTTCTCATGTGATTATAGCCTTGTTCCTTTATCCACTGACTGAGCCCACCCCTTTGATTTCTCATGTTCATCTCCTGAGGCACAAGTTGTTTTAAAAAACCCGTTAACAACCTTGGAGACAGAATTCGAAGTGACACCTTTTCAGATACACATTATCCCCACACCGTTCTTACAAACAAGTTCTCAGACTTCTGATTGAAGTCTATCATGATTGATGTGTGATCTGCCTATGATATTGCTTCACCAGGGAGGACCCTCCCTACTTAACACCTGATGATGTCAATACATAGCCTATTCTAGACTCAAAGCAAAGAAACATATGCATTCTATAATCTATAAATTAGAGAAGCAATTTGCCAGAATGAGAGGTACAAAATGTAACTGTAGATACACAGCAAGTTACAGTAGCTTAACAACAGAATCAACCTTTCACCATACAGTATTCACATTCATGTCCCAATTGTGTTATGCATTGTTTATAACAAAATATTCATCAGAGAGAACACTTAGGGGGCTCATGGGGAAAGTATGGGGGGAGGAGTTGCCCTTAGTTCAGATAGCTGATAGGCCACTAGTTTGGGGGTTAAGAGGGGCCAGAGGGAGAGAGAGACACACCAAGACTGAATGGACCACAAGAATGTCTCCTCTGAGTTACACCAAGTTATTAGTTAGCTAGATAATTTTATTGTTTTGGGCAGCCCTCCTAACCCTCTGTTAGCCCCCTAAGGTCGATGTCCGCGCCCGCGTAGAAATTAAATTAGCATAATACAAAAATCTGTCAGATTAAGCTAGAGATATCTGTTTTTTGCATTGGATGCGTCTCAATCCACTGCACCCGCCTATGTTTCCGTTTTGCTATACGAACTCCACAAGTGTCAGGAGACTCGTTTGAAGTCGGTAGAGCCGATCTGCCAACTTCTGTCTGCAACATCCGAACCGTTTGTATGGGCTAATAGCAGTAACACCAAAAATAATTGTTCATCCAAACATTTATTTATACTGGATATATTTTTGATACTTCAAGAGGTCTTAAAATTCCAAATCAAACAGCTAAATGATTATTGGTATGACCTTCTTAGAACAACCCCCCCCCCCCCCCCCGGCTTAGACAGGGCTTAGACTGTATTTCGAGGGCATTAAAACCCGGTTCGCCAACTTCAACTCCTGTCTTACAAACCCAAAGCACCAATCATGTATATTTATGTTGAAGTATTCTTTCTGTATGCAGTTTAAAGACGGACAGTCAGTCTATAGCCAATGGTAATGAAAAGTTAAACAATTTAATAACATCAAAAACATCCACCAACATTCTTAAACATGCAATAGCTGTATTTGATGTATTTGTACAAAGATGCAATCGAAGGCGATCATCATGGTAACGTTGAGGTTGACTTTAAAACAGGCTTACTGTGATTAGTTTTCTGGGGTTGAATGGCTTTGTCTACAATGACATGCACATTGTAATGAGCAAGGCTGTTCTAAGAACATGGGAACAACATTAATGCTTTAATTGGTATTTTGATGAGCTAGAAAAGATCAACTGGTAACTCGGTTGATAATTGTCTGCATGTTTTAGCGAGCTAGCACATAAAACCACTGAATCACAACCTCACTGTGGAAATCGTATCTGGAACTTCTACAACAACAGCATAAGTACTATCCTGTTATCAACTGAGAGTTCTCAGAGCACCTGCCTTAGATCTTTTGTGTATTTCAGCATTTTATGTGATATAACTGAGGCATCAATTTTGTATTGTTATTTTGTCATGTATAAAACCAGGAAATAAGTTAATGAACAACCTTTGTACACATATTCAAATCATATTTAATGAATGCATTTCAAATATAAAATGCAGATAATATTTGCTTCAACTGAAAAAGACCGACATCATATGCTCACACACACGTGTAGTTTGATAAACGATGACTGGGCATGAGAGATCTGGTAGTATAAAACAAGGAGCAATGTGGACTGGAGATTTCTTTTTCTTCCTTTTTACCTTTGAGTAGATTACAAACAGTTGTTGCATTTGACAAAAAAATGCAAAAAGCCTCAAAGGTTTTCACTGATTTGCAGTAATATAAAACACTCCCACATACAATAATATATACATTTGGAAATTATGCATTCTGTTACAGTTTGACAAAACAAAGAGCTTTATAAAATGAAGATGTCAGTGCAGCTGACAATGACACATTACATTTAATATGAGATTGTGATTGGTATGGATTATGTCATCTACTTCCTTTATTTCCTCTCCCCTCCACCAGTCTGATGAAAGTGTTGTCCTAAGGATGGATGATGGACCATTTTCCTTTCTCTCACGCTGTGCTCTGATTGTTGGTTCCTTTGACTTCCATGGACACCCTCTTTTCCTTGCGACCTGCGTACTCGCCGATAAAGGAGCCATCTTCGTTGAACTGTGTGTCCTCATCCCCATAGTCCACCAGGCTGTCCCCACTGTCCTCTGCTTTGATCTGCCCGCTCAGAGAGTGCTGGCTGCCCTTCAGTGGCTTCTCATCGTTGTCACTGTGTCACAACATGATGGCACAAAGACAGGGGATTTCAAAACCACCTAATTTCACTCATGGTTTAACTCTATGGGCTTTATTGGTAAGGACAGGGACACAGGCAGCTTAAATGAAGAGCTTCGATGATTGGCAGCAATGTTTACCTCTGACTGACGGACGGATGAACAATGATCAGATATGTGCACTAGTAAGGGGCCCTCCTGTCAAGTGTACTTAAACCCTACATGTACAGTATATCAATGTATGTGACGATGAATGGGATAATTAAAAGAAGCCGGGTATTGATGTGGATGTCGGGCTTATGCAGATGCTGCAGTCACAAGGTGCATTGTAACCCTGTCTGTATGGGGAGAGATGCTCAGGCTGTAGTTTTCATTGAATTATTCAACAAGAGAGTGATCACATAAAGGGTTCATTGTATAGACTAATGGTTTGGATTGGCATTATGATGCTCCTACATGGGAAATTATGGTGAAATCAGGTGCTTCAGGGATCTGAGCATTTTTTGATTTTGGAGTGAAAATATAATAAATGTGCTTTTCCGTGGTCTGACATTGGAGGCCATATATTTTAAGGACCATACACACCACTCTACTTCTCAACTTTACTGTGAGCACATGATGAAAAATATCTAGGCTACTTTTGATTCGTAACTTAAAGTTAGGTTCTGAGTGTGAGACTACTGATTGGAGTGAAGTGTGGGACTCTGAGTTGCACTCTGTGAGTGTGTTCTGAATCGGACCAGTGAACGATTAATGAATTGAGCACAGATATTACTGCCCCGGAGATGAGCTGCATTCAATTACACAGATTGGTTTTTAGCCTCCTGCTGGGTTCCATTCAGAAACAAATAGTAACATCTGAACAATGAGGCTGTTACTGCTAATGAGCTGAGCTCTACCACCACACATCTACCTAATCACAATGCACAATATAGGGTGATAGCACATCAACATCACTGATGTGTAAACAACAACGGGAGTATTTGTTGCTGTTTATCACATCACGTTTAGCATACATGTTACTCAGCCCATCACATGTCTTGAACAGGGATGTCTGTGAGGGTCCGTGTTAAGCTCATGCATGTGGGGTTTTCTTTTTAAATCAGGAGAAATACAGAAATATAATTATACAATGTGATACAATTCAAAACATTGGGTACAAAGTAATATATGCGCTGATGTCTGAATTCTTGATACAATGGTGGTTGGTGGTATGATTACCTGTATTCACAGAAGGTGTCGTCATGCATACCCTGGGATTCTAGGTCTGGGTGAAGATCCTCTTTCTCCTTTACTGCTCAGAGAGAAATATCATTGTTTAGGGTACCTTGAGTACAGTATAATGTTCAATAAACAACTTTATACCATGTTAAAGACAAAGTAATGTTCTGTTAAAACGCCTTACAAGTTCTCACACATTCCTGAGTAACAACATAGTCAGTGCTTGATGTCAGCAACATTTACAATATGAGTAACAACTGAATCCTAATTTCAAAAGGGAAAGCTAACTATCAGTGAAAGTGCAGGAGGTAGTGTTTAATGAATGCAACACAGAACAAAGCCCTGTGATTTAGACAGTCTTTCTGACATGATAGGCGATTAGCTGAGCTGAACCTGGCGCTCAATAAGTATATAAAGATGAAAGGTACTGTAAACGACGCCCTATCCCTCACAGACAGGACTGGTATTAAGATACCCTGGCTGGTGCTTATGTTTCATCCCCACCGCTGGCATGTGACCATAAGATTTGCATATCTTCTGTGTGTTCTGTGCATTCTATGTTTTGTTATTAAAATTCTGCATATTTCAAATATGCTGTTTTATTTAAATGTTATAAATATAAATGCATATGCTCCCATTAATTCAAGTTCTCATTATACTGTAAATATCAGCATTGAAATGGTGAGCAGTGGTGTGATGTATAGTTCTACTAATAATAATATATCAGCTTAAGTATGTCTATAATGGTGTTGTCACGATCGTCGTAAGCAACGGACCAAGGCGCAGCGTGATATGCGTACATCTCTTTAATAGTGTACTTAGCAACACGATACAAACAACAAAACGAAACGTGAAGTCCTCGGTCATACACAAACCTACCCGGAACAAGATCCCACCAATCACAAGTGCACAAAAGGCTGCCTAAGTATGGTTCCCAATCAGAGACAACAAGCAACAGCTGATTCTCGTTGCCTCTGATTGAGAACCACACCGGCCAACATAGAAACACATAACCTAGAACAGAACATAGAAAACGAAACATAGACACTACACAAAGAAACTAACACCCTGGCTCAACATACAAGAGTCCCCAGAGCCAGGGCGTGACAGTACCCCCCCCCCCAAAGGCGCGGACTGCGACCGCGCCAACATAAACCCAACAGGGGAGGGGCCGGGTGGGCATTCCACCTCGGAGGCGGATCAGGCTCCGGGCGTGACCACCACCCTCTAACAACCCCCCCATAGCTCCCCTGGTCTGGTCCCGCTGGCTGGAGCTGGACTGGACATCGGTGGAGCGGATTGCTTAGGCTCTGGTGTGGAGCAGCTGACCGGTACCTGACCAGGCACGGGCTGTGCCGGACTGACGACGCGCACCACAGGCATGGTGCGGGGAGCAGGAATGGGCCGGACCGGGCTGACGATGCGCACCACTGGCTTGGTGCGGGGAGCAGGAACGGGCCGGACCGGGCTGACGATGCGCACCACAGGCTTGGTGCGAGGGGCAGGAACAGGCCGGGCCGGGCTGGCGACGCGCACCACAGGCTTGGTGCGAGGGGCAGGAACAGGCCGGACCGGGCTGGCGACGCGCACCACAGGCTTGGTGCGGGGAGCAGGAACAGGCCGGACCGGGCTCTGGAGACGGACTGGAGGTCTGGAGCGAAGAGCTGACACAACCCGTCCCGGCTGAATGCCTATTTTTACACACTCTGTGTGAGGCATCAGCACAGGACGTACAGGGCTGTGTACTCGTACTGGCACTACAGCACGTGACACTGGCGCAGGATATCCGGGACCGAGGAGGGGTACTGGAGGCCACGAGCGTTGAGCCGGCACACTCCGTCCTGGCTGCATGCCCAACTTAGCACGACACGTGCGTGGTGCTCGCACAGGACGTACCGGACTGTGCCGGACCACTCGCGGCACAGTACGCAGCTCCGCATACCTCGGAACCTGCCCAGTCTCACACTGCCTAGCCTGAGTACGGGGAGTTGGCTCTGCTCTACCTCTAGGCTCCGCCAACCTCCCTTCCAGCCCCCCAAACACGGTGGCCTCCTCTCCTAATTCACAAACTCGCCCAGTAGCTGCCTCCAGCAGCCCCGTCGTCCATGCCGTGTGCCCCCCCAAAAAAAATTATTGGGGTTGCCTCTTGCGTGTCCGACGTCGGCCCGGTTGGCGCCGCTGCTCCTCTCTATGGCGCGCCTCCACCGTCTCCTCCCACGGACGGCGATCCATTCCGGCCTGGATTTCCTCCCAAGTCCAGGACCCCTGCCCATCCAAGATCTCCTCCCAAGTCACGCTGCTTGGTCCTGTTTTGGGGGGTGGGATCTTCTGTCACGATCGTCATAATGAGTGGACCAAGGCGCAGCGTGATATGCGTACATCTCTTTAATAGTGTACTTAGTAACACGATACAAACAACAAAAACAACAAAACGAAACGTGAAGTCCTCGGTCATACACAAACCTACACGGAACAAGATCCCACCAATCAGAAGTGCACAAAAGGCTGCCTAAGTATGGTTCCCAATCAGAGACAACAAGCAACAGCTGATTCTCATTGCCTCTGATTGAGAACCACCCCGGCCAACATAGAAACACATAACCTAGAACAGAACATAGAAAACGAAACATAGACACTACACAAAGAAACTAACACCCTGGCTCAACATACAAGAGTCCCCAGAGCCAGGGCGTGACAGGTGTCCAGAGTGATCATTTCTCTTAGGTATTAAAGACTGCCTAGTGCAGTGATTAGTTAGCATTTATAAGGTGCAATGTGTGTGTGTTTGCATCTGAGCACCTACCAGAATATTTCCCTCCTTTATTTCTGTTGACAAAGCAGGCGATTAACACCATGAGTGTGAGAAGAGCCACGACACACATCAGCCCGATGAACCAGCCCTGGGTAGAGATTCCTCCATGGATGCTTGCCAGACCTGAGGAGAGGAGAATAAACAGCAACACGACTCAGCCTTTCATGAGGACGCTTGATTGAATGTTTACATGGACAAAGTCTATCGGATGCAGAGGCAGCAGGTGACGTTGACATGGAAATGTAGCAGTATTAATAATAAACAGCTAATCCCTTTGTCTAATTAATCAACTGAGGAGGCTGTTCAAATGGAATTCCTTTCACCAAGTCACAAAAAATATATAAAAAAGTCCTATTGACACAGAGAACCATGGATGATACCTTGAGACATGTTCAAGGACATTGGTGCACCTGCATACTTAATAAGACGTCAATTGGTTATGGTGATTATGTGTGTAGGGATTTGAAGGGGGGGCTTTTACTATAAGCTTTTACTTATTTTCCGATGTCATCCCTGCTCACCTTTAACCCTGGTCCTGATTACATCTTCAAAAATACTAGAATTATCAACCCAGTTGTTAGTCATAAGGCGCATAGTGTACACAGTCCCAGGCTCCAGCCCCTCAATGACGTGGAAAGTCTTAAAGGAGTTAACTGCCTCAGAGATCTTCCAGTTACCTTTACCTAGGTGCACAATCAGGGAGGGTTAGTACCCATTAGGGGTGAAGGGTCAAGGGTTATTTACAGAGCATTCGATGAAATAACACAGAACACAATTTCTAGCATGTAACGGTAGTATTGAATAGAGATGTCTCAGATGTTACCAATACATTCAAAATCACCTTAAAAGTGTATCGTTATAAAATATACTACAAATGGACAGAGAAGTAATACTACAAATGGACAGAGAAGTAATGTGCTTACGGTTGTTCATATATGCAATATAAAACTCTGAATCCGTTTGTTCGCTTCCTGGAATCCAACTGATATTTGCAAAGTTGTCACTAACTGAGGAACTAATATTCAACAGGGCTGGAACTGACAGACAGATGAGGGAGGAAGAGGGGAGAAATGGCAGAACAGGGTTAGTAAAGGATTAAGGATAGTACAGATCACTTTCACACACACAAAAAAACGTTGGCCAGGGACTTGTTGATGTAGTCAATCCATTTGCTTATGCACATACAGTACAGTATATGTAGCCTAACAAATGTGTCTCATGCTTAATCATATTGGAGGATATAGAATGAAGGCTTATCAATAACTGGCATGTTTCCTGAATCACTTATAATGAAATTGTCAAAGGAAAAGGAAAGCCAAGGAAAGCCAGCAAAGCTGAATGGAAATCTAAAGATATTAGGTATTCACTGAAACGAGCAGACTAATGAACAATGCAAAACCCTGCTTATTGACTTTGCATGTTCATTTTCTTAATACAACTGATTGCTATCGCTTTTCAAATCACATAGATTGTGCTTCTCTCTACAACAGTATACACTTCGATGGAAATGTTAAATATCAGGGGTGAGCAGAAATCCCTGTGCCTCACTGCAGCTTAACTCATGTACACGGTGGTGCTGCATACATTAGACAATAACAGACAAATAAATTCTCTGAAGACTGACACTCCAGGAAATCAAAGAATCACTGCAGCTGGAGGGAGGTTGAGGATAATGCACCACTTCATTTTGCAAGTTGGAAAAGAAAGGTTGCACTGCTTTCGTACGACCGGTCAACGGCAAACAATCCCCTTCTCTCCCTCAGGCGAACATGCAAATCTTCGACTGTGTCTCCTGCTCAGGTGTTTGCTCAGGTGATCATTCAGAACACAAGGACACCTGTGTCTGGCCTACCCATCCCTGTGAGCACAAATGACACACCATGGGTACAGCTGGTGTATGACTCTGTAACTATGGTAATTCCCATCATTCGCTTTGCAAGTGACAAAAAATATTTCAGGGCTTGGTGTGTTTGTCGTTGCACTGCTCAGCCTGGTATTTAAGGCTGCAGAAAGCATCTGTTGCCACAGCAGGGAGCGCAGCCCTGGCCCTGCCACCATGCCTGCAAAATGGCTCTTCAAAGTCAGGGAGCTTTTTTAAAGCTGAGCCCAGTACACTGAAATATTCTGATCTACAACTTTCAACAGTTTCCACTTATCCACTTATCTCAGTTTCCCCTAAATATCACCCTCTCTGTAAGAGCTCACACCTCCTGCTCCTCCTCCTCACTCTGCCTGGCTATGCCGACAAATGTTGCTATGGACGTTTCCTTGTCCAACAGCACTATAGTTGTTTACCCAGTTGAAGGTTACATGGAAATGTCAGGTGACTGTTCGGTCAATATTCTGCTGTGTAAAGGAGGACTGGGGCCCAACAAATCAATCCTTGTTGGGCCCCATATTTGTCCTGTTTGAACTACAACACACTACACTCACACCTTCGGGTATGGAACATACTAAATAATATGACTGTCTCTTGATGAGTTTTTTGAGGTGTTTGAGGGACTTTAACTCAACATCGATGCTTAGGGTAGTTTTCATTGATTGAACTTAAGCTCAAAATAGAGAAGAGTATTTGTGTCATATGGTATCACTAGAGTTGAGTGTTTTCACCACCGGTGGCCGGTGGCAACTTAATTGGGGAGGACGGGCACATAGTAATGGCAGGAACGGAATCAATGGAATGGTATCAAACACATCAAACACCTGGTTTCCATGTGCTTGATACCATTCCATTCACTCCATTCCATCATTTATTATGAGCCGTCATCCCCTCACCAGCCTCCTGTGGTTTTCACATATGGCTATCATTGCCATATTGAACACAATTGGTTGTATGGTGGCACCTTAACTGTTTTAGAAAAAGTTTTAGAACACCTACTCATTCAAGGGTTTTTCTTTATTTTTACTATTTTCTACATTGTAGAATAATAGTGAAGACATCAAAACTATGAAATAACACATATGGAATCATGTAGTAACCAAAAAAGTGTTTACCAAATGTCACGCCCTGGCCTTGAGAGGCCGGTTGATTTTAGTTGGTTTGGTCAGGGCGTGAGAATCTATGCTGGGAATTCTATGTTTGGTATCTAGGTATTGTATTTCTATGTTTGGCCGGGTGTGATTCCCAATCAGAGACAGCTGTCGCTTGTTGTCTTTGATTGGGGATCATACTTAAGTAGCCTGTGTGCCTACCTATGTTGTGGGATCTTGTTCCTGTGTTAGGCTTGTATTGTGTATAGCCTTGGACTTCACGTTACGTTGGTTTGTTGTTTTGTTTTGTGTTTATCATTAAATATACATGTTTGCATACCACGCTACACCTTGGTCTGACCCGTCTCTCAACGATCGTGACAGAAGATCCCACCAAAAACGGACCAAGCAGCGTGCCCAGGAGCAGCAGACACCCTGGACACAGGTGGGGAAGAGTTTTTGGACACAGGAGGAGATTTTGGCAGGAAAAGGACCCTGGGCGAAGGAGGAGGCGGCGTCGGCCGAGGAGGAAGCCCGCGGGACAGCCCCAAGAAAGAATTTTGGGGGGGCTAAAAGGGTGGTCAGGGATCGATAGAGAAGAGCCCCGACCACTGCACTCGTGGGGGCTCAGGGAGGAGTCTGGGCACGGAGAGTAAAGGACTGGTATAGTCGTAGACCTCCAGCGCCGGTTCCCAGTCTGGTACGGCTTGTGCCTGCTCCTCGCACCAAGCCAGTGGTGCGTGTTCCCAGTCCGGTACGGCACGTACCTGCTCCCCGCACCAAGCCAGTGGTGCGTGTTCCCAGTCCAGTACGGCCCATCCCTGCTTCTCGCACCAAACCAGTGGTGCATGTTGCCAGCCCGGTACGCCCCGTACCTGCTCCCCGCACCAGGCCAGTGGTGCGTGTCTCCAGTCCGGCCCGGCCCTTGCCTGCACCTCGCACCAAGTCAGTGGTGCGTGTTCCCAGTCCGGTACGGCCTGTGCCTGCACCTCGCACCAGACCAGTGGTGCGTGTCCCCTGTCCGGCCCGGCCCGTTCCTGCTCCTCGCACCAGACCTGTGGTGCGTGTCTCCAGTCCGGCCCAGCCCGTTCCTGCTCCTCGCACCAGACCAGTGGTGCGTGTTCCCAGTCCGGCCCGGCCCGTGCCTGCTGCTCGCACCAAGCCAGTGGTGCGTGTTCCCAGTCCGGCACGGCCCGTGCCCGTTCCACCGGTGCCTGGTCCAGCACTGGTCAGCTGCTCCACTCCAGAGTCAGAGCAGTCCGCTCCACCGGTGTCCAGTCCAGCTCCGGTCAGCGGATCTACTCCGGAGCCAGAGCAGCCACAGGAATGGAAGACCCAGAGTTACCTCTGCTGCAGAGGATAAGTTCATTAGAGTTACCAGCCTCAGAAATTGCAGCCCAAATAAATGCTTCACAGAGTTCAAGTAACAGACTCATGTCAACATCAACTGTTCAGAGGAGACTGCATGAATCAGGCCTTCATGGTTGAATTGCTTCAAAGAAACCACTACTAAAGGACACCAATAAGAAGAAAAGACTTGCTTGGGCCAAGAAACACGAGCAATGGACATTAGACTGGTGGAAATGTGTATTTTGGTCTGGAGTCCAATTTGGAGATTTTTGGTTCCAATCGCCGTATCTTTGTGAGACGCGGCATGGCTACCACAGCATTCTACAGTGATATGCCATCCCATCTGGTTTGGGCTTAGTGGGACTATCATTTGTTTTTCAACAGGACAATGAACCAACACTCCTCCAGGCTGTGTAAGGGCTATTTTACCAAGAAGGAGAGTGATGGAGTGCTGAATCAGATGACCTGGCCTCCACCAAATTGAGATGGTTTGGGATGAGTCGGACGGCAGAGTGAAGGAAAAGCAGCCAACAAGTGCACAGCATATGTGGGAACTCCTTCAAGACTGTTGGAAAAGCATTCCAGGTGAAGCTGGTTGAGAGAATGCCAAAAGTGTGCAAAGCTGTCATCAAGGCAAAGGGTGGCTATTTGAAGAATCTCAAATATAAAATATATTTAGATTTGTTTAACACCTTTTTGGTTACTACATGATTCCATATGTGTTATTTCATAGTGTTGATGTCTTCACTATTATTCTACAATGTAGAAAATAGTAAAAATAAAGAAAAACCCTTGAATGAGTAGGTGTGTCCAAACTTTTGACCGGTAGTGTATACCTATGTTGGAACGGATGAACTTGGCCATGTGGGAGACTGTAGGGCTTGGACGTGAGGGGGAGGCAGACTGGCCTGAAAAGGAAGACACATCTGGACATTATTGGCTATTTTTTGAGTCAGGGAGTGGGCGCTACTAATAAAATTGTTAGTACACTACATCTACGGGTATAGTGGACTGATATTAGTTTCTAGTCTACAGATATGTCTACTATAACAACTAGTCTGGGTGGTTACTACTACAGAGCAAATCAAATCAAATGAAGCTTTATTTATACAGCACATTTCAGACATGGAATGCAACGCAATGTGCATCACAAGAGAAAACTAATAAAAACCTATAAAAACAAAAGCTGAAATATTTACTACACAACAAACATAAGATAAAAAACTAAAGAATGACAAAAACTGAACGACTAAAAAGCACACTAAGGAAAAAACCCTCTTTTAAATATGTCCACTCTTTCGGCCCTCCTCAGGTTCTCTCTGAGGCAAATACAGAGGCTGGGGGCATAATAACTAAAGGCATCCTCTCCATGCCTCTTGGTCCTAGGCTTTGGGGTAGTTAAAAGGCCAGTCCCAGAGAACCTGAGAGACCTACTGGGTACATAACTTAAAAGCATGTCTGACATGTATTGGGGTGCACAATCGTGGATTGAGCAATGAATACCATCAAACAACTAGCAAATATGGTCTAATTTGTGGTTAGAGGTGATCATTGGTAATGATTTATACTATAGGAAGGGACTTTTCCTCTGTTGAAACAAAGACATCATCATTTGAACTTTTATTGACAATACAATATACAGCAGATGCATGTCTGATAGCCTTCCTGTATGCTGTACCTAAAGCATAATTTGATCCCTCTGTTTGTAATACGTG